GTGAGGGGTAGGAATGGGTGGATTTCTCCATCCCCCTTCTCTGGCCGTTGTATTGGGCAGTTCAATGGTAAGAAATGTCTCAGTCCCTGGAGCAAAAACGTTGTGCTATCCAGGAGCATGAGTACAGGACATCAATAAGCTGCTCCCAAATATTTTAAACCTGAATCAGGAAATTTAGTCTATCATAGTTCATGTGGGATTCAATGACATTATGAAGGGCAGCTCAGAACAGCTGAAGATGGATTTCAAAGAACTGATTGGGTCTCTGCTTGACACCAACAAATGCCCCATAATATCTGGCCCTCTGCCCTCCCTAAATCGTGGGATTGAACGTTTAAGCAGACCTTTTGCCCTCCATAACTGGCTACGAGACTATTGCAGCTCTTTGGGTATAACATTTATTGATAATTTTGATACCTTCTGGAAACAAAGCTCATTTTATAAGTAGGATTGGATCCACCCAAATCCTTTGGGTTCCTGGATCCTTTCACAGCATTATAAGGGTGAGTTGAGACAATGACCCAAGCCCTGTTCAGTTAATCCCTACCATTGTGTCGCTGAGTAGTCATAATGCTTCAGCAAATGTACATTATGTCAGGGGCGTTGGAAGACACAATGTAAGTAACCTAATGTAAGTCCCTCTAACTGCCCTGAATGCCTCTGCTGATCCTACAGCTATTGTCTTCTGCTAAGCATCCCAGAAAAGTGCTAAAAATAGCCCACATTAACATATGTAGCTTAAGAAACAATGTTCATGAAATCAATAATTTGCTAGTAACAGATGACATTCATATTCTGACAATCTCTGAAACTTACTTCGATAACACTTTTGATGATAAAGTGGTAGCAATACATGGTTACTTAATCTACAGAAAATACAGAAATGCCAAAGGTGGAGGTGTTGCCGTTTATATTCAGAACCACATTCCTGGATATCATGTTAAATACTGTTGAAATAATATGGTTAAAGGTTCATCTGCCTCACCTAAAGCCCATTCTGGTGGCCGCTGCTATAGACCACCAAGTGCTAAACAGTCAGTATCTGGATAACATGTGTGAAATGCTTGATAATGTATGTGATATCAACAGAGAGGTACACTTTCTGGGTGATTTAAATATTGACTTGCTTTCATCAAGCTGACCACTCAAGAAAACGTAAAACTGTAACTATTGCCTGCAACCTGGTTCAGGTTATCAGTCAATCTACCAGGGTAGTTACAAACAGCGCAGGAATAAAATCATCAACATGTGTTGATCATATCTTTACTAATGCTGCAGAAATTTGCTTTAAAGCAGTATCCAAATCCATTGCATGCAGTGATCACAATATAGTAGCCATATCTAGGAAAACCAAAGTTCCAAAGGCTGGGCCTAATTTAGTGTATAAGAGGTCATAGAAAAAGTTTTGTCCTGATTCCTATGATGTTGATGTAAATAATATTTGTTGGTCTGTGTTGTGTAAGGAGGAGCAACCAGACACTGCACTTGACACATGAAATGGCTTATTCCAGTTACTAATAAGCATGCACCCATTAAGAAAATGACTGTAAAAACTATTAAATCCTTGTGGATTGATGAGGAATTGATAATTGTTATGGTTGATAGGGATGAGGCAAAAGGAATGGGAAATAAGTCTGGCTGCACAACCGATTGGCAAACGTACTGCAAATTGAGAAATATTGTGACTAAAATGAAGAAGAAACTACACTATGAAAGAAATATAAATTACATAAAGAATGATAGTAAAAAACTTTGGAGCACCTTAAATGAAATTTTGGGCAAAAAGGCAAACTCAGCTCCATCATTCATTGAATCAGATGGCTCATTCATCACAAAACCCACTGATATTGCCAATTACTTTAATGACTTTTTCATTGGCAAGATTAGCAAACTTAGGCATAAAATGCAAGCAACAAACGCTGACAATACACATCCAAGTAATTATGAAAGACGAGCATTGTAATTTTGAATTCCGCAAAGTGAGTGTGGAAGAAGTGAAACCATTATTGTTGTCTATCAACAATGACAAGCCACCGGGGTCAGACAACTTGGATGTAAAATTACTGAGGATAATAGCGGACGATATTGACACTCCTCTTTGCCATATCTTCAATATAAGCTTACTAGAAAGTGTGTGCCCTCAGGCCTGGACGGAAGCAAAAGTAATTCCGCTACTTATTTTTTTAGGGGGTAGATCAGCTTTAATATTGCAGAGAGATTGTAGTCAATGTAATTGTCTGCATCATTTCCAATCCCCCATATATCCCCCTGTTACCAACCCTTAGTAAACTTTTGGAAAAAATGGTGTTTGACCAGATACAATGCTATTTTTACAGACTTTCAGCACGCTTATTTGGACGGACATTAAACAAGCTCGGCACTCACCCAAATGACTGATTATTGGCTGAGAGAAATGTATGATAAAAATATTGTGGGAGGTGTTTTGTTAGACCTCAGTGCAGCTTTTGACATTTTCGATCATAGTCTACTGATGGAAAAACATACGGTATGTGTTATGGCTTTACACCCCCTGCTATATTGTAGATAAAGAGTTACCTGTCTAACAGAGCACAGAGAGTGTTCTTTAATGGAAGCTTCTCCAGCAAGTTGAGGTGACTAAACTGCTTGGAGTAATGCTGGATTGTAAACTGTCATGGTCAAAACATGTTGATACAACAGTAGCTAAGTTGGGGAGAAGTCTGTCGATAATAAAGCGCTGCTCTGCCTTTTTAACAACACTATCAACAAGGCAGGTCCTACAGGCTCTAGTTTTGTCACACCTGGACTACTGTTCAGTCGTGTGGTCAGGTGCCACAAAGAGGAACCTCGGAACAGGGCAGCACGGCTGGCCCTTAAATGTACATGGAGAGCTAGCATGTAAATCACTCATGGATCAAAGTGGAGGAGAGATTTACTTCATCACCACTCATTTTTGTAAGATGTGTACTGAAGTGTAAATAACTGCCTTAATGTTGTTGGACCCCAGGAATAGTAGCTGCTGCCTTGATGTACTGTCCTGTCTCCTGGTAGTGCATCCATGCTCTGGACACTACGCTGACAGACACAGCAAACCTTCTGGCCACAGCTCGCATTGATGTGCCATCCTGGATGAGCTGCACTACCTGAGCCACTTGTGTGGGTTGTAGACTCCGTCTCATGCTACCACTAGAGTGAAAGCACCGCCAGCATTCAAAAGTGACCAAAACATCAGCCAGGAAGCATAGGAACTGAGAAGTGGTCTGTGGTCACCACCTGCAAAACCAGTCCTTTATTGGGGGTGTCTTGCTTATTGCCTATAATTTCCACCTGTTGTCTATTCCATTTGCACAACAGCATATGAAATGTATTGTCAATCAGTGTTGCTTCCGAAGTGGACAGTTTGATTTCACAGAAGTGTGATTGACTTGGAGTTACATTGTGTTGTTTAAGTGTTCCCTTTATTTTTTTGAGCAGTGTATATATATCCTCCTCACCATTTCTCTGTCAATGGTAGGTGTAGGGTAAGCCAGTACCACTAGGTGGTGGCATCGTTACATCATTGCAAAAGAGGGACTTGTGAGCAACTTGTATGCACAACTAATAGCCTCAAATCCAAACTTGAGTAACCTTCTGTTTCACTATTGTTTTCACTTATACAGATTTCAGGCAAAACAATTGATGCCTTTTAGCTATTTTTCATTTCACAATGGCCAACCATGTATGCTTCTCCACCTTTTATTTATTTTTCTTTCTCTCTTTTCTCTACTCTATGCCTCAATTTCATCCAAACGTGTAGTCTACACGTTTATTACTGTATAAAATAAATCAAGCCAAGTGATATCTAAAACTTATCTGCCCACAGAATCTGATTTATAAATCAGGATTTAGAGAAGAAACAATATTTTTTGGGGCGGCAGGTAGCTTAGTGGTTAATAGCGTTGTGCCAGTAACCGAAAGGTCGCTGGTTCTAATCCCCGAGCCGACTAGGTGAAAAATCTGTCGATTTGCCCTTGAGCAAGGCACTTAACCCTAATTGCTCCTGTAAGTCTCTCTGGATAAGAGCGTCTGCTAATTGACTAAAATGTAATGTAAATGTTTGAATAGTAGACCTATGGATGCTGCATTTTGAAAGTATAGATTTCACCAACGGGTTATTTCAAATGTAGGCTAATGCTCTTATGATTATTTGTCAAATGTTTCCTGTAACAATTCTGTAACAACATGTTAATATTAGTATGAACATGTTAGATATTCTAATTAATTAATTGTCACTAAATAATAATATGCCATTTACCAGACGCTTTTATCCAAAGCGACTTACAGTCATGCGTGCATACATTTTTGTGTATGGGTGGTCCCGGGGATCGAACCCACTACCTTGACGTTACAAGCGCCGTGCTCTACCAGCTGAGCTACAGAGGACCACTAAATCGTTCAATTAACACTGTAGAGTACAAGTTATATGTTTGTTGGAAGATCGGCAAGAAAGCGCACAACATCCAGATGAGCTATTTCATCTTAATATCTCTAGTGTGAGGAGAGGTTCGTTTTCAAACGCAGTGTTTCTAAATGTGTCGATGTTAAACTAGAAATAGGTTTCAGTTGTATGTAGTATGGAGGAGGTGTGCTGCCTATAATCATAATTTTAGCTAGACTTTTTGAAAGAAGAGGACAGATTTTAGGGATGTGGGTTTGCTTGGCTCTTGAGGCATTACTCGTGTTTTACCCAATTCATTAGGTTTCCCATTCTCAATGAAACTTTACATTTCTGATTTAAATTTCCATCTAGTTTTCATGGTTCGCAAGGCTACTGATTGATAATTTATTCAAACATTCATGCTTGTTCGTTACATTTAAGTCATTTAGCAGACGCTCTTATCCAGAGCGACTTACAGTTAGTGAGTGCATACATTTTCATACTGGCCCCCCGTGGGAATCGAACACACAACCCTGGCGTTGTAAGCGCCATGCTCTACCAACTAATAATACATTAGATGTACTAATGTATTTGTAATTTATTTGTCAGCAGTGCATTTATTGAATTCAAATAGTATGCTATAACAATAATAATTTGTGTTAATAACATTTATATTAAGGTTTGCAGTAACAAAAACAACATACCAAAACACCTAATTTGTCATAAAGAGGTCATATGGTCTCAAACTCGATCTTGGGAAATTGTAGGCCCAAAAGAACTCCCTCGCTGTATACATTTACCCTTGAATAAGAACTAACCCAAACAGTTTTAAAATATACATATATTTATTGGTTGCTGTAGCCTACAGCGAAATCTTTTATTTAAAACTCTGGGGTCTAGATTTAAGTGCAAATAGGTGATGATAACTCGGGGTGAATGTGCATGTATTTTTCAGTAAACACATTTAATATGGTTGGATATTGCATTTTATCCGTGTCGATAACTTGTACTCAAACACTAACCTACAATATTAAACGATACAATTACTCCTGAATACATCATGGCATGGAAGAGCTGTCTCTGAGCAGTCCTTTATAATGTGTTGGACAATGGCAATACATGCATTTTTTCAATTTTTACTTCATGCACTCAGTCGTTTTTCATTTCTCCGGAAAGGTGTCATGGCACAGACCTTCTCACAGACAAATAGAGTGACTGACGTTTTGTATGTAGCCTACATTCCCCTAATTCATCAGAAATATTTTTACCGGACAAATGGTATAAGCGTATAGCTTGTATATAGTGTAGTTGACGTGATCTTCATCCAAGATGGCAATGGTCTTATTACGTTTATTTCACATGATGCATGGCTTGACGTCCTGATATACGCTCTGGTGATGGTGATGTAGCTGGTGGTAGTAAGATCCACTGGCAGTCGCCGGGTGAAAGGAAGAGATTCCGTTAAAGTTCAAAACAAAATCTTTCCTGTCACACACTGGCGATGAATGGCTTGAGTATCGAGATAATCCCACTGCAAACAGATGGAAGAGACGTGACAGTCAAACACAAACCTTGTAAATACTATACCAACGTATTATAATACACACAATGAATGCACTCTATGGCGCGTGTATGTAGGACTATAGATGCCACTATTTGGACGTTGTATTTATCCAAATGGAATATACTCAAATTATTTTTCTAAAATGGTAGGCTACATTTTTCCTTAAACAACTGCATGCATATCATTTAGAGTTTACATGATCACGAAAAAAACGAATTTATGTAACATCACTTTTACAATGTTAAAATACTAGACCTATTTGTAAATATAAGGCTAGCATTTCAAAATGTTTTGAATGTTCTCCTAGAAAAGTGTCGTTCTATTTTCATTACATTTTAAATATTTGCCATAAATACTTTGCTCTCTATTTAGTCCTGAATTTGCCTTCTATTTAATCCGCGCCTGAAAATATTGGGCTAATGCTGCTTTAGCCTAATAACTGTAAAATCTATAACTATTTCAGAAACAGCAGTGGTATTTCTGTTGAACCTATTTATTTAATTCAGTAATATTATTGTTATACCATTTACGTGTTGTTCAATAACTATGACCTTTTGGAGACCATTGCGTACAAAGGTCACAGGCAGTTCTATCTTCACAATGGTCACAATAAACAATTTTTTATAGATAAGTAAAACATTATTCAGTGTTGACATCACTGACATATTATTGTATATTATTATACACATAATTGGGTGTTGTCATATTATCATTTTCAATAAGGCCTTGAAAATAAAATCTAGGCTACATGTTCAACTTCATTGGGAATGATTCTGTTAATCTTGGCAATAGCATTTGCTTTAATATTGTTATCAATATGACATTATTGTTTCTTTTTTTCGTCATATTTTCATAGTTTTGTCTTTTGGTCACAAGTGGACAAGCAGAGCAATGTCCGTGTTGCCTAACTAGGCCCAATGCCCTCTTCCCTCTGATTTGTAATTTGCAGTTGCCCATCTCGACTACTTACAAATAAAATAGCTAATATAAATACGCACTATTTAATACAAACTACCCATCAGAGTGGACGATTTTTTGATGGGTTGTATATTTTATAATTGGCCTTATATTGTGCCTAATTAAAGATTGTGTTTGCCTATATTGTTAGGAAAGTAAAGCCTACCTGAAATGTCAGATGAGTCTCTTCCGTTGTGATGGAGATAGCTTTGCTCCAGAGAGTAAGGGGACATGCTGGAGTGCAATGCGGAGGATGTGGGACTGTTTGAGGCCAGGGATTGCTGCTTGATATATGGAGACATACCAGGTGATGCCCAGTGTGAGGGGGCAGTGGCGTAGGGAGAAGCACTGGCGTAGGGAGAATGACAGTCCAAAGTGCCCGCTGCCATCGTCGCCGGGGAAGAGTGCAAAGGGCTACTACTGCTGTCCGGGCAGTAGTCTCCATTAGACGACACCTGACAGGCCGCCATGTAGGTGGACCCGGGGCTTGGCGACATATGAGGGACATGATGCCCTCCACCCAGCCCGTCGTAGCTCCCTGGCACCGTGTTCCCCATCACGTCCAGGTTGTAACCGTTGGCATGACATGCCAAGGACGCGGAGGGGTTCTGGAAATCGAAGTTTTGGGGCATTATTGACGCACCAAAACCGATGCCATTCATCATTCGATACATGGGTTTCAGAGCTTGGCATTTCCTACGGAATCCGCGAGGTCTGCGACGGAAGGATCCCTCCTCGAACATAAACTCGCTGCCCGGGTCTATGGTCCAGTAGTGGCCCTTCCCTGGTCTGCCGAGGCCCTTGGGCAGTTTGATGAAGCATTCGTTTAGAGACAGGTTGTGCCTCACTGAGTTTTTCCAGCCCTGGTAAGACCCCATAAAGAACGGGAAACGGGCCTGAAGGAACTGATATATTTCTGCCAGAGTAAGCGTCTTTGTCGGGGAGCTTTGGATAGCCATCACAATAAGGGCGATGTATGAATAGGGCGGCTTCTCAGGTCGCCTCAAGCCAGAGTTTCCCTTTTTCCCTTTGGTTGATGCATTTGGTGAGCTCTCCGCCACTGGCTGTGCGCTCATCAGTGTGCCGTGCATCACACCGGCTGCTGGGCTGCATCTCAGAGGATGAGACGGCTCCAGATGTTGCTGTGAGCTCTCAGTCGTCATGTTTGCGCCCACTTTAGAGACACAGAGGGACAAGTGTAGACTATGACCAATTCCTTGCCCGACTCTTCTTGCACTGACCTGAAATGTCTAATGAGAGCAGTAGGCTACACCAAATCCTCTTCAGTCAATTACTCAGCAGAACTCCTTCAGACATTCTAAAAATAGGTTTCCAAATGCGATAATCGAAGAGGTTAGTGTCCCGTGGCGATTCACTGCACCTTTATTGCTGTTCTAATCAGGAACAGCAGCTGTGTATCGGTGTGGCCGCTGCTCCTCCTCCGTATCACTGTGGCCATCGCTGGCAATAATTCTTTAAGAGGGGAAACATAAAGCTCTTCGACTTTCTTGCTTATATCCACTCGGCCAAACAAAACTCGACCACCTATCAATTCTTCAATCTCTCTCTCTGCCCTATAGATCCCGGCTAAATCCCTCCAAGAAATCGCCAGGAACTCGAGACCCAACCCCTGCCAGATCTGGCCCCGGTCCAGACATCATTCTAGCAAGAGCCACACATAACACAGCGCAGAGTAGAGTACTAACAGAGACCTCCTCCCACCCGCTCCTCGCAGCTCCTCACAACTCTAATACACGCAATTACACCATTTATCAAACTTATTTAGACACTGCAGTCAACAGTGCAACAGCCAAGCGATGAAGGCAATGGTTCCAAATTAACCATGACACCGCTTGCTTATATACCAGTGAGACATAAACACAATGTAGGCCTATTCTATTTAGTCGAATTCAAGTTTAGTTTATATATAGTTATACAATATATATATATATGTAATAGTATTAAAATGTAATGTACTGTAATAGCATTAAAATGCTTTAATTATTGTGTTCATCCATCATGCTCTCTGTTGTCCTTAATCAAAATAGGTTGTGCTTGAATGATGGCACATTGGACCTATGATGTACTTGAGGATGGAAAAAAAGCCATGAAGAGCAGATAACTACATTTTTCAGAACAGTCAGAGCTTCTTAGAGCTTGTGGTTTTGTCTTGCAAAGCTAATGGAGAAATAATAGTCCTTAGTTGTCACGTTAATTTGTTGAGGGCTGTTCGGGATAGGACTTTGACATTTACCTTTATTTAACTAGGCAAGTCAGTTAAGAACGAATTCTTAATTACAATGACGGCCTACACCGGCCAAACTCGGACGACGGCCAATTGTGCGCCGCCCTATGGGACTTCCAATCACGGCTGGTTGTGATACAGCCTGGAATCGAACCAGGGGGTATGTAGTGACTCCTCAAGCACTGAGATGCAGTGCCTTAAACCACTGCGCCACACGGGAGCCCAAATGCGTCCACATGAGTGGAAGCATGCTTTTTCCATCGGGCGCTGCCAGTATACCACACACATCGCGCGAGTGTCAGTTTACCGGCTCTAGCCTGGATCATATCCCTCGAGAGCTGAATTAATTGCACAGATCCAAATGAGGTCTTAGCGATATATGTAAATCTTTCCATATTTATAGTGCCCTAATGATGCTGATTGTGATGTTATTTTATTGTTATTGTTCTGTCGTTTTGAGTTTGTTATTATTTAGAAGCTAAACAAATGAGCCTAGGCCTACTTCTTATAATGTAAAATAAGAAATCATGCATGCCGATGATGCCCATATGCTGGTGAACATTGTGTCATGCGTAATGATTGTAAGGAGATTATGTTTGGGAAAACAAAAGCAGGTTAAACGATAACTGGTAGCAAGTGTAGCCTCTCCCATTTAATGTAATCAGGATAAGTTCCATTTCAATTCAAGTCAGTTCAGGCAATCAAATAAATAAAAAATCATCGAGGAAACATGTATAGACGACACTTTTGGGTTTAACTGCAATAGAATTTAACCCAACTCCGCATTTAATTTATTCCTATAAGGCAATACAGGGAAAATAACAAAAATGATGAAGTCAAAGATTTAATGACGAAATTGAAGCTATTTGGAGACACGGTGTTACCAATTTTTCCTTTCCGTTGAATGTGTAATAACAGTAAGGTATTTTAAGCCAATAGCTTTGATGCAACAGTTATAAATGACAAGTTCAAACTCCTAACCAAACATGTGGAGATAAGATCATTTTTCATTACAAAAACAAAGGTAGAGAACATAATCTCCTCAGAATTTCCGGCAATAATAACCCCGCTGCGTTCAGGATGCACAGCTGGTTCAAGGAACTTTTCGTCTCAGCCACAGAAGAATACTTGGAAGGATTTGAAAATATTGCGCACAGAATGAGAGATACTACCATAACGTCTTGGTAAAAATCGAACAGAGTTGTTTAGCTTCTAATGTGGACTGAAATCCACTTATAAAGTCTATTTCGTGATTCTCTCTCCCCTGCTCACGTGTCTCGATTTGAGGAGACGGCTATTTGTAGTTTCAGAGAGAAAATATAAATACTGAATGTATGTATCGGCTCACAGCAAGCTTCTCGGACACAGAAAAATAAATACAACTTTGGCGTTTTTCTGCCCCAACACAGGGACCAATTCATAATTACATATGTGCCACACTAATAATGATAACCATAATTTATATAAAAAAAATTATGGCTGAATGTGTTATTATTGTTGTTGTTATTATTAGTATTAGTAGTAATAGTAGTAGTAGTAGTATACCAAGTTATTTTTTGAAAATAATGATAGTTATTAACGATTATTGTATCGCAGTAGGCCTAAATGTGAAGTGGCCTACTGTGATATTGATAACAATGTTAGGTTAAATCTAGAATAATGTATGTGAAACATTTGAATGCATATAACTAATGCTATTGGATCATGGGTCCTGCATTAAATGACCTGCATCTTATAAAGGCTTCATAAAGCCTTCATAAAGACTTCATAAACACTACATAAATGTGTCACAAATCATATATAACCTTATGCCATGCTCTATAAAGGGTTCATAAATGTGGAATAACTGTGTGACATAACCACCAATGTCAAATGTGACATAACCCACTATTTCAAATATGACATAAACCTGTGCTTTATAAAGGGTGGCATAAGCACCGCTTAATAAATGCTCTATAAATCATAGTAAATTGAGGCTTCACAAATCATGTATAACCTTGTCACACATCTTGGTAGAGCATCGCAACACCAGGATAGTGAGTTCAATTCCAGGGACCACCAATATGTAAAAATGTATGCAGGCATTACTGTAAGTCAATTTGGATAAAAGTGTCTGCTAAATGGCATATATATTACTCTAAAACATTTATAGGATGGCCCAACCTCTTTCCCTCTTGGGTGCATAGCCAATATTGGACCTGACCTTAACTTTCCCCAAAATGTTGTGCTGCAGGATGACACATGCTCTAAAGTGCAGTAATGCATAGCAAAAAACATTAGTACGGCATTTTAAAATCCGTTTTTATATTTTGCCTAAGTCTTTTTTTTTTCTTTCACAAATTCCATTTTCTTGGTTTTGTTTTACGAGGTTTCGGATTTTCCCCTAGTTCTTTCGGATTTTCCCACAGTTCTTTCACACTTTTTTAATAGAGAAACCACAAAATTTGATTTTCTGTGTTCACAACAATGCTTAAAACACATCAGGGGACCACTTTTGAGGTCTGGGAAAAATCTAAGAAACTTACATTTTTGAGTGTAGTTACCCTTTTATTCCCCTTTAAAGCATGCACTGCTGTTTGGTTAGCGATCAAATCAAATCAAATCAAATCAATTCAAATCAAATTTTATTGGCCACATGCGCCGAATACAACAGGTGCAGACATTACATTGAAATGCTTACTTACAGCCCTTAACCAACAGTGCATTTATTTTTAATAAAAAAGTAAAATAAAACAACAACAAAAAAGTGTTGAGAAAAAAAGAGCAGAAGTAAAATAAAATAACAGTAGGGAGGCTATATATACAGGGGGGGTACCGGTGCAGAGTCAATGTGCGGGGGCACCGGCTAGTTGAGGTAGTTGAAGTAATATGTACATGTGGGTAGAGTTAAAGTGACTATGCATAAATAATTAACAGAGTAGCAGCAGCGTAAAAATATGGGGTGGGGGGGCAGTGCAAATAGTCCGGGTAGCCATGATTAGCTGTTCAGGAGTCTTATGGCTTGGGGGTAGAAGCTGTTGAGAAGTCTTTTGGACATAGACTTGGCACTCCGGTACCGCTTGCCGTGCGGTAGCAGAGAGAAAAGTCTATGACTAGGGTGGCTGGAGTCTTTGACAATTTTGAGGGCCTTCCTCTGACACCGCCTGGTATAGAGGTCCTGGATGGCAGGAAGCTTGGCCCCAGTGATGTACTGGGCCGTACGCACTACCCTCTGTAGTGCCTTGCGGTCGGAGGCCAAGCAGTTGCCATACCAGGCGGTGATGCAACCAGTCAGGATGCTCTCGATGGTGCAGCTGTATAATTTTTTGAGGATCTGAGGACCCATGCCGAATCTTTTCAGTCTCCTGAGGGGGAATAGGCTTTGTCGTGCCCTCTTCACGACTGTCTTGGTGTGTTTGGACCATGATAGTTTGTTGGTGATGTGGACACCAAGGAACTTGAAGCTCTCAACCTGTTCCACTACAGCCCCGTCGATGAGAATGGGGGCGTGCTCAGTCCTCTTTTTTTTCCTGTAGTCCACAATCATCTCCTTCGTCTTGGTCACGTTGAGGGAGAGGTTGTTATCCTGGCACCACACGGCCAGGTCTCTGACCTCCTCCATATAGGCTGTCTCATCGTTGTCGGTGATCAGGCCTACCACTGTTGTGTCGTCGGCAAACTTAATGATGGTGTTGGAGTCGTGCCTGGCCATGCAGTCATGGGTGAACAGGGAGTACAGGAGAGGACTGAGCACGCACCCCTGAGGGGCCCCCGTGTTGAGGATCAGTGTGGCAGATGTGTTGTTACCTACCCTTACCACCTGGGGGTGGCCCGTCAGGAAGTCCAGGATCCAGTTGCAGAGGGAGGTGTTTAGTCCCAGGATCCTTAGCTTAGTGATGAGCTTCGAGGGCACTATGGTGTTGAATGCTGAGCTGTAGTCAATGAATAGCATTCTCACGTAGGTGTTCCTGGGGCCAAGCTTCCTGCCATCCAGGACCTCTATACCAGGCAGTGTCAGAGGAAGGCCCTAAAAATTGTCAAAGACTTCAGCCACCCTAGTCATAGACTGTTCACTCTGCTACCGCACGGCAAGCAGTACCGGAGCGCCAAGTCTAGGTCCAAAAGGCTTCTTAACAGCTTCTACCCCCAAGCCATAAGACTCCTAAACAGCTAATCATGGTTACCCGGACTATTTGCATTGCCCCCCCACCCCATCCCAACCCCCTCTTTCATGCTGCTGCTACTCTGTTTATTATTTATGCATAGTCATTTTAACTATACCCACATGTACATATTACCTCAATTACCCCGACTAACCAGTTCCCCCTCACATTGACTCTGTACCGGTACCCCTGTATATAGTCTCCCTAATGTTATTTTATTTTACTGCTGCTCTTTAATTATTAGCTATTTTTTATTTATCTATTTTTTACTTAACACTTTTTTTTTCTTCTTAAAAACTACATTGTTGGTTAAGGGCTTATAATTAAGCGTTTCACTGTTGTATTCGGCACATGTGGCAAATCATATTTGATTTGATTTGATGACTGCCCCCTTTGCGTTTGCCTAAAGGCACCTAAAGACTCTCAGACCATGATAAATAACATTCTCTGGTCTGATGAAACCAAGATTGAACTCTTTGGCCTGAATGCCAAGCGTCACGTCTGGAGGAAACCTGGCACCATCCCTATGGTGAAGCATGGTGGTGGCAGCATCATGCTGTGGGCATTTTTTTCAGTGGCAGGGACTGGAAGACTAGTCAGGATCGAGGGAAATATGAACGGAGCAAAGTTCAGAGAGATCCTTGATGAAAACCTGCTCCAGAGCATTCAGGACCTCAGAGTGGGGCGAAGCTTCACCTTCCAACAAGACAACAACCCTAAGCACACAGCCAAGACAACGCAGGAGTGGATTCGGGACAAGTCTCGGAATGTCCTTGAGTGGCCTAGCCAGAGCCCGGACTTGAACCCGATCGAACATCTCTGGAGAGACCTGAAAAGAGCTGTGCTGCAATGCTCCCCATCCAACCTGACAGAGCTTGAGAGGATCTGCAGAGAAGAATGGGAGAAACTCCCCAAACACAGGTGTGCCAAGCTTGTAGCGTCATACCCAAGAAGACTTGATGCTGTTATCGCTGCCAAAAGTGCTTCAACAAAGTACTGAGTAAAGGGTCTGAATACTTATGTAAATGTACCATTTCCGTTTATTTTTTATTTTTTATAAATTAGCAAATATTTCTAAAAACCTATTTTTGCTTTGTCATTATGGGGTATTGTGTGTAGATTGATTGTGTGTAAAAAAAACAATTTAATCAATTTTAGAATAAGGCTGTAAGGTAAGAAAATTTGGAAAAGGTAAAGGGGTCTGCACACTTTCCGAAGGCACTGTAAGCCTGGGATTTCAACCATTTAAAGTTGGCCTTAGTGGAAGTGACCATATACAGTGAGGGAAAAAAGTATTTGATCCCCTGCTGATTTTGTACGTTTGCCCGCTGACAAAGAAATGATCAGTCTATAATTTTAATGGTAGGTTTATTTGAACAGTGAGAGACAGAATATAACAAAAAAATCCAGAAAAACGCATGTCAAAAATGTTATATATTGATTTGCATTTTAATGAGGGAAATAAGTATTTGACCCCTCTGCAAAACATGACTTAGTACTTGGTGGCAAAACCCTTGTTGGCAATCACAGAGGTCAGACGTTTCTTGTAGTTGGCCACCAGGTTTGCACACATCTTAGGAAGGATTTTGTCCCACTCCTCTTTGCAGATCTTCTCCAAGTCATTAAGGTTTCGAGGCTGACGTTTGGCAACTCGAACCTTCAGCTCCCTCCACAGATTTTCTATGGGATTAAGGTCTGGAGACTGGCTAGGCCACTCCAGGACCTTAATGTGCTTCTTCTTGAGCCACTCCTTTGTTGCCTTGGCCGTGTGTTTTGGGTAATTGTCATGCTGGAATACCCATCCACGACCCATTTTCAATGCCCTGGCTGAGGGAAGGAGGTTCTCACCCAAGATTTGATGTTACATTGCCCCGTCCATCGTCCCTTTGATGCAGTGAAGTTGTCCTGTCCCCTTAGCAGAAAAACACCCCCAAAGCATAATGTTTCCACCTCCATGTTTGACGGTGGGGATGGTGTTCTTGGTCATAGGCAGCATTCCTCCTCCTCCAAACACGGCGAGTTGAGTAGATGCCAAAGAGCTCCATTTTGGTCTCATCTGACCACACCACTTTCACCCAGTTCTTCTCTGAATCATTCAGATGTTCATTGGTAAACTTCAGACAGGCCTGTATATGTGCTTTCTTGAGCAGGGGGACCTTGCGGGCGCTGCAGGATTTCAGTCCTTCACGGCGTAGTGTGTTACCAATTGTTTTCTTTGTGACTAAGGTCCAAGCTGCCTTGAGATCATTCACAAGATCCTCCTGTGTAGTTCTGGGCTGATTCCTCACCGTTCTCATGATCATTGCAACTCCACAAGATGGAGATCTTGCATGAATCCCCAGGCCGAGGGAGATTGACAGGCCTTTTGTGTTTCTTCCATTTGCGAATAATCACACCAACTGTTGTCACCTTCTCACCAAGCTGCTTGGTGATGGTCTTGTAGCCCATTCCAGCCTTGTGTAGGTCTACAATCTTGTCCCTGACATCCTTGGAGAGCTCTTTGGTCTTGGCTATGGTGGAGAGTTTGGAATCTGATTGATTGATTGCTTCTGTGGACAGGTGTCTTTTATGTAGGTAACAAACTGAGATTAGGAGCACTCCCTTTAGGAGTGTGCTCCTAATCTCAGCTCGTTACCTGTATAAAAGACACCTGGGAGCCAGAAATCTTTCTGCAGAAATCTTTCTGATTGAGAGGGGGTCAAATACTTATTTCCCTCATTAAAATGCAAATCAATTCATGACATTTTTGAAATGCGTTTTTCTGGATTTTTTGTTGTTAATTCTGTCTCACTGTTCAAATAAACCTACCATTAAAATTATAGACTGATCATTTCTTTGTCAGCGGGCAAACGTACAAAATCAGCAGGGGATCAAATACTTTTTTCCCCTCACTTTAAGTCTATGGGAACAACCTTACTGAGTAAAGTATTTGTCATCAGGCTATGTTCTTTGCTAGCAAAAACATTACCCCTGTCGTCACTAGTTAACACAGTCACAAAGTCATTATTACGTCTCAACTCTGCCCATTTTCACAGTTTATCTTCTTAAAAATTGATTTTAAACCTAACGCTAACCGTAACCATAACATTAACCACACTGCTAAATGTATGCCTAATCCTAACCTTAAAATCAAGACCAAAAAGCACATTTTTGTTTTCATGAATTTGTACAATTTAGCCAATTTTGACTTTGTGGATGTGCTATCTAGTGGAAACCATTCCCTCAAGGGAGAAAAGGTCAGCAACAGGCCCTACCTTCCAGCTAGCTAATTAGCAAAGTACATAGCTAGCTAGCTAATGGCTTTACCGAGAATAAGAAAGACTACACCCTAACAATCTGTGGTCAATGTGTGTCGTGCTTGTGAGGAAACCTGTCAATAAGAGTTACAAACACAATCTCTTTATTGCCAAGACGTCGGACCGATAGGACAGAAGTGCACACGACACGTGGGGGAAGGTGTTGTAGATGATTGGTTGGCATGAAGGCCAAATTTGATGGTTTGGTCTAACCAGACCTTCCGCGCATTTGGGAGGAAGGGTCTGGGAATGAGATTAGGTGTAATGTGACTATGACTTCAAGTTAGAGCGTGTGCCATCCTTCAGCACAATATGTCACCCTTTATAAAGCAGGTGTTTATATCATATTACACATAGTGGGTTATGTCACATTTTACATTGGTGATTATGTCACACAGTTATGCCAGATTTATGAACCCTTTATAAAGCATGACAGAAGGTTATATATGCATATAGGCCTACTCATTTGATTCAAGTGAGATGTGATATATAGCTTTACATTAGCCTACCCTTTCGCAAAGCTTTTCAAAATCGTCAGTCCTTCCTTCCGTCCTTCCTTATTTCTCTTCTCTGGCCTTCCTCCCTTGCATCCCCTTTGACTTTGTTTAGGCTATTTAATACAGTGATAGTCTAGAAGATAATAGCCGATATTGTAAGAATATTTACAACATTATCAACGTGTTTCATTCAACACATCCACTGTCGTGAGTGCTGACAATGATAGGGATACGATTTGAATGACAGCTTTCAGTCAATGAAGCTTTACGCATTAGGCATCATGGCACCCGCATGTCCCAATCAATTTCAATTTGACAGCGAGCAAATAAAGATGAGCCTAATAATATGTCACCTTGATAGAAATGGTAAAGCAGTGTTTTGAAATGGGTTGGATATTAGACCAAGTTGATTAGGCAATTTTGTATTATTATTTTTTTATTCACCTGCAGGCCTACACCATACACCTGTCAGTGGTTTTGACGGTATGTTGGGATTTAGTAATTCATAGGCCTATCTCTCAAAGGTGTCCTGCATCTTGCCGTTTTGAATATCGTTTGTCATGAAAACAACTTGTAGCGCAGGTATCTTGTATATCTTGTTTTTTCACTATCTATGCGCTATGGATTCAATAAGATAATAAAGACAGAAGCACATCACATTTCAACGTTAAAGTTACTCTTTATTACGAATATTAATCGTGTTAAAAAAAAAAATCATATACAAACAGCTCGACTTGCACAAATGACATGCCAAATGTTATAAACAGCATGTTTTGAAGGTCAAGTGATTGTCGAAAATTCAGTAACAACATTAAAAAAAAACTACGACATAAATAGCCTATAATCTATACATCATCAACTGTACACTGTATAGCACAAAACTGCCATTGTTTTAAAGGGAAATTATCACAGAACCTCAAAGGAAGGACATAAAGCCTACTCCTTCCCACACTAAAATGTCCATACTAAAATTTCCTGATGAAATAATACTACGCCCTGTCTAGGTGACTGGTTGTCCAAACGTAAGGCAATGCAATAAAATGCATTCAGTTGATGCACAATAATAACTTTCAAAGTACACAAGTGCAAACCCAGTGTTTTCAGTCCATTTGCCACACCCCTTGGGTCCATTACGACAACAAACTGTCTATTTGTAATGGGTGGTAAGCGTCAGCTCTTTAAGTAGTTGGTGCTGGAACTGTAGAGATTATCTGGTAAACTGATTATGCCTTTGAATAATATTCTGCGCCGTAACTGTCTTTCCAATTGTCCATCTCTGAGTAAAGTCCACCACCGTATGCCCTCAGCACATGCGCTGCGTATGAGTCCACATTGAACATCGACTGGGCGTGATGTGGCAAGGCGACAGGTGTTCCTCTCATAATGTGTGGCATCATCTGAGTGTAACCGGGCCACGGTAATGCAGCAACGGTAGGCGAATCCTCTGCCCAATCCTGTCTCTTGAACGGTTTGCTGAGGATACTGTCTATAGCGAAGGAACTGGAGAACTTGGCACTACTGGGTCCGGTTTTAGTGGCTGGTGGTGTGGATGTTATAGTGACTTGCGCGTCCTCGTCGGCAGCATGGCCAGAGACGTCTTGCTCTTTGCCTGTCTTTTTATTGATGCGCTTTCTCCTGCGTCGGAACACTCCGTCAGCGAAGGTGTACTCGCTATGAGGATTCAGCATCCAGTAGTTGTCTTTTCCCCAGGGTCTGGACGGGTCCCGGAGGACCTTTAGAAAACAGTCGTTCAGTGACAAGTTGTGGCGCACCGAATTCCTCCAACCAGTGTAGCTGCCCCGGAAAAAGGGAAACATTTTCATCAGATAGTCATTGATCTCTGCCAGAGTCAGGCGACCCGATGTTGAGTCACGGATAGCCATAGCAATCAGTGCGATATAAGAGTATGGAGGTTTTGGTCTCCGCATGTACGGTTTGCCTTTGCCATCTGCGCCCGGTGTGACAGGTGGCGGGCTGTGCGCCATGCAGTCCCCATCCGAACCCAACTCCTCCTCACCGGAGAGAGGCGAGCGGACGCTGCCCTCGGCATCGCTGCACAGCTCCTGCAAAGATTTCACCTCGTTGTGATGGTTTCCACAGAATACTTCAAGTTTCATGTTGTCTATTATTATTTATCCTATAGCCTACTGCTAGTTTTATATCCAAAGTGTATCGGATGCCCAAGTAAAAACAGGCACGTCCTCAAAAAAGCTGAAGCCTCAGATGAAGTTTTGTCTTGTGCGTAAAAGTGTCAAAACGCAGACCGCTTTCAGTCAAAAATATCCTAGAAGTACCTGATGAAGTCACCGTCCTCATACCTTTGGGTTCACTAGCTCGTCTCACCTCCTGTCTGTCTGGTGACCTGTTTATAGCACAGGCTCACCTAAGTACCAACCCAACTAGGCGGGGCTTGATAATGATATGGATATTTTGGAACAACTGAAATATCATGCACTCTTAATGTTTATGACACATCATAAATCATAACAGTCATTATCTATTTTTATGTAAATATTTGTTTGGCAATGGAATTGTGTTGAATAGCCCTTTCACCCTCCCGTTTTCAGTATAACAAGACAAGTAGTAATAGGCTGCCTTTCATGTGTAACTGGATCAGGCTGTGGAGGTAGACACCTCTGGAGTATTTCACCTGAGACAACAGGTGGCGTTCTTTTCCTTTCCATCTGTTCTGCCTCGAATGATATCATCATTATGGAGAGTTATACCTGATTTATCATAGTTTTCTTTGAATTCTTCAAATGTTTCAGTTTGGCCATCATATGTCTGCAGATACCCTGAATAATACCCTATTTGACTGCAGGAAAGGGCTACATAAATAGCCTTAAGGCTACTGATGACTTAAAGGAACAGGGAAGTTATGCAGATATGATACCAAGGTGACACCACAATTATGAAAACAGAGCATCTGGCTGGAAGCCATGATGGAACAGGTTTTCTGGAAGATATGCAAAGAGCGAGCGAGGCAAGCCCAATGTTTTCTGGGTAAGCATTCATCTCAAGGTCATGCACAGTTTAGCAAAAGAGAAGGAAGATCACCCACACTGTTTGTTTGGTCACCGTGAAAAAGCATTTGTATGTTTCTCTATCTCTGCTGTTGTTTTCAGTGTTTGGTTAGGCCACCTAATCCAGGGGATGCCCGCTAAAAGGTTAGCAAAACACTGGTTGTGAAAGTGACTCACATCATGGAGATTTTGTATTGTTTGTCATGGTACTGAACCATAGCCAGCCGGCTCGTACTGTAAACCCTTTCCTTCTCTTTAACCGTATTTCAGTGGCAGTGAATGTTACTGTATTTAGCTGAACTGTCATGGATGTCTTGAGGATGCTGAATTCTATTGGTAAAATTTCAAGACAGACTGTTATTGGTTTTGACGTTAGAGATATGGTATGGGCCTATGTGGCACTGGCATGGCAAAAGGCATAGCAGCTGATCACCTCTCTATGCCCTATCAACCTCCTCCAACCTCTTCCAAAGGGACATAGCAGACTGAGGGCATGCTGTAGCAGAGTCAACCTGTGGAGTGAACATGACTTACGATGTGATTCCCCCTATGGCTAATACCAATGCTTTCATTCTCCTTTAGCACTACCACACTTCAGCTCAGAATTATGTTATGTTTACTTTTTTATTTATTTATTTATTTCACCTTTATTTAACCAGGTAAGCCAGTTGAGAACAAGTTCTCATTTACAACTGCGAGCTGGCCAAGATAAAGCAAAGCAGTGCGATAAAAACAACAACAACACAGAGTTACAAATGGGATAAACAAAAACGTACAGTCAATAACACAATAGAAAAATAGAACATCTATATACAGTGTGTGCAAATTTAGTAAGTTATGGAGGTAAGGCAATAAATAGTCCATAGTGCAAAATAATTACAATTTAGTATTAACACTGGAGTGATAGATGTGCAGAAGATGATGTGCAAATAGAGATACTGGGGTGCAAATGAGCAAAATAAATAACAATATGGGGATGAGGTAGTTGGGTAGGCTAATTACAGATGGGCTGTGTACAGGTGCAGTGATCGGTAAGCTGCTCTGACAACTGATGCTTAAAGTTAGTGAGGGAGATAAGAGTTTCCAGCTTCAGAGATTTTTGCAGTTCGTTACAGTCATTGGCAGCAGAGAACTGGAAGGAATGGCGGCCAAAGGAGGTGTTGGCTTTCGGGATGACCAGTGAGATATACCTGCTGGAGCGCATACTACGGGTGGGTGTTGCTATGGTGACCAATGAGCTAAGATAAGGCGGGGATTTGCCTAGCAGTGATTTATAGATGACCTGGAGCCAGTGGGTTTGGCAACGAATATGTAGTGAGGGCCAGCCAACGAGAGCATACAGGTCACAATGGTGGGTAGTATATGGGGCTTTTGTGACAAAACGGATGGCACTGTGATAGACTACATCCAATTTGCTGAGTAGAGTGTTGGAGGCTAATTTGTAAATGACATCGCCGAAGTCAAGGATCGGTAGGATAGTCAGTTTTACGAGGGCATGTTTGGCAGCATGATTGAAGGAGGCTTTGTTGTGAAATAAGAAGCAGATTCTAGATTTAACTTTGGATTGGAGATGCTTAATATGAGTCTGGAAGGAGAGTTTACGGGCTAACCAGACACCTAGTGTCACGCCCTGGCTCTGGGGACTCTAGTATGTTGAGCCAGGGTGTGAGTTTTCATTTGTTTTTCGTTCTAGGTTAGTATTTCTATGTTGGCCAGTGTGGTTCTCAATCAGAGGCAACGTGTATCAGCTGTTGCTTGTTGTCTCTGATTGGGTACCATACTTAGGCAGCCAGTTTTCCCACAGTGTTTGTGGGATCTTGTTCCTGTTTAGGTTTGTGTCTGAACCGAGGACGTCACGTTATCGTTTATTGTTTTGTTCGTGGTATTACTCAATAATAAAGATATGTTCACCTTCCACGCTGCGCCTTGGTCCTCTGTTCCCGACGATCGTGACACCTAGGTATTTGTAGTTGTCCACATATTCTAAGTCAGACCTGCCGAGAGTAGTGATTCTAGTCGGGCGGGTGCAAGCAGCGTTCGATTGAAGAGCATGCATTTAGTTTTACTAGCATTTAAGAGCAGTTGGAGGCTACGGAAGGAGTATTGTATGGCATTGAAGCTCGTTTGGAGGTTTGTTAACACAGTGTCCAATGAAGGGCCAGATGTATACAAAATGGTGTCGTCTGAGTAGAGGTGGATCTGAGAGTCACCAGCAGCAAGAGCAACATCATTGATATACACAGAGAATAGAGTCGGCCCGAGAATTGAACCCTGTGGCACCCCCATAGAGACTGCCTGAGGTCCAGACAACAGGCCCTCAGATTTGACACATTGAACTCTATCTGAGAAGTAGTTGGTGAACCAGGCGAGGCAGTCATTTGAGGGGGGCATGGGCAAGTTGCAGCGGAGGGTGCAGAGCTGGTGGCCGGGGTAGGGGTAGCCAGGTGGAAAGCATGGCCAGCCGTAGCAAAATGCTTGTTGAAATTCTCGATTATCGTAGATTTATCGGTGGTGACAGTGTTTCCTAGCCTCAGTGCAGTGGGTAGCTGGGAGGAGGTGCTCTTATTCTCCATGGACTTTACAGTGTCCCAAAACTTTTTGGAGTTAGTGCTACAAGACGCAAATTTCTGTTTGAAAAAGCTAGCCTTTGCTTTCCTAACTGATTGTGTATATTGGTTCCTGACTTCCCTGAAAAGTTGCATATCGCGGGGGCTGTTCGATGCTAATGCAGTACGCCACAGGATGTTTTTTTGCTGGTCAAGGGCAGTCAAGTCTGGGGTGAACCATGGGCTATATCTGTTCTTAGTTCTGCATTTTTTGAATGGGGCATGATTATTTAAGATGGAGAGGAAAGCACTTTTAAAGAACAACCAGGCATCCTCTACTGACGGAATGAGGTCAATATCCATCCAGGAAACCCAGGCCAGGTCAATTAGAAAGGCCTGCTCGCTGAAGTGTTTTAGGGAGCGTTTGACAGTGATGAGGGGTGGTCGTTTGACCGCGGACCCATTACGGATGCAGGCAATGAGGCAGTGATCACTGAGATCCTGGTTGAAGACAGCGGAGGTGTATTTAGAGGGTAAATTAGTCAGGATGATATCTATGAGTGTGCCCATGTTTACGGATTTAGGGTTGTACCTGGTAGGTTCCTTGATAATTTGTGTGAGATTGAGGGCATCTAGTTTAGATTGTAGGACGGCCGGGGTGTTGAGCATATCCCAGTTTAGGTCACCAAGCAGTACGAACTCTGAGGATAGATGGGGGCAATCAATTCACATATGGTGTCCAGGGCACAGCTGGGGGCTGAGGGGGGTCTGTAGCAAGCGGTAACAGTGAGAGACTCATTTCTGGAAAGGTGGATTTTTAGAAGTAGAAGCTCAAACTGTTTGGGCACAGACCTGGATAGTATGATAGAGCTCTGCAGGCTATCTCTACAGTAGATTGCAATTCCACCCCCTTTGGCAGTTCTATCTAGACGGAAAATGTTGTAGTTGGGGATGGACATTTCTGATTTTTTGGTGGCCTACCTAAGCCAGGATTCAGACACTGCTAGAACATCAGGGTTGGCGGAGTGTGCTAACGCAGTGAATAACTCAAACTTAGGGAGGAGGCTTCTGATGTTAACATGCAAGAAACCAAGGCTTTTACGGTTACAGAAGTCAACAAATGATAGCGCCTGGGGAGTAGGAGTGATACTGGGGGCTACAGGGCCTGGGTTAACCTCTACATCACCAGAGGAACAGAGGAGGAATAGAATAAGGATACGGCTAAAGGCTTTAAGAACTTGTCTTCTAGTGCGTTGGGTACAGAGAATAAAAGGGGCAGATTTCCGGGCGTTGTAGAATACATTCAGGGCATTATGTACAGACAAGGATATGGAAGGATATGAGTACAGTGGAGGTAAACCTAAGCGTTGGGTAACAATGAAAGAGATAGCATCACTGGAGGCACCGATTGAGCCGGTCTCCGCGTGTATGGGGGGTGGGACAAATGAGTTATTTGAGGCAGGTTGAGCGGGACTGGGGGCTCTACAGTGAAATAGTACAATAAGAACTAACTGAAACAGCAATAGGCAAGGCATATTGACATGGGAG